GGTCAGGATTGGACATGATTTTTTTTCCTAGTTCTGCAATGCCTGACTTCTGGGACTTGGTGCGATTTGTTCCCACTTCCAGAAATACCTGGACTGTTTTGTTCTTCAATAAGATGCAGCTCCTAATCATTTTACTAGCCATTTAGGGCTTGATTCAATGGGCACTGGGCAGAAGCCCCTAAACAATGAAATTAGTACCGAGTTTAGCCCACCCTATCAGGTTGTGTAGGTCTGAAATTTCATCTACTGTATTTTAAACTTCTTTATCTGGAGACCAAAGTCCTATGCCCCCCAAATATCTATTTACAGTATTTACCAGGATGCATAGCTTCCAGAATAAGATGCTTCTACTGAGCAACTACTGAATGGAAACCCAAAAATTAAAGCCATCTTGTATCAACACAGAATATTTCTGAGCATGCACTACAACTGCTCGTTACTGAGTTCCTTAACTCCTGACCTTTAACACAACTCAAGTTTTGACTTCTACTGTTCACAAGATAGTGATTTTAAAGCAAATCTTAGTTCCCAATCTTGCCAAAATGCATACCCAGATTTCCATTGTTTCCAGTAACCGTAGATGTTAGAGCTTTGGAGAATTCATCCCAGGAGCCTGAAGCGCAGTCATTTCTGATCCTCTCTCTCATCAGAGAGCCATTCTTAAAACTAAAACAAACAAAATACTAACTACAATTTCCAAAGCAACAACCACTATTTGTGGCACTAGGTGATGATTACCACTGCTCAGGGTTAGAGATACAAATATTTATTTTTTTAGTTTATTTAATGTGTGCGCTCTTTATATAATCAGTTTAGCTGTTTCCACTGTATATGTAACCCATCTGCTTTTTAGTGCAGTACTATACTGGTTTGGCCCAAAGAAAGGAAGAAAAGCTGAGAAGGGGCAAAACCGACTGGCTGGAATACTCTGTCTACACGCATGCAGGGGGAGTTATAAGGGTTTTTAAAATCCAAATATGAGCTTTGACAAAGTCATATCCTGTCACCCAAGAGTTGACACTCAAAGCACATGACAGGGGGAGTAATAAGCATACAAGTTAAACAGCCCTACAGGCCACTGGTTCTCAACCTTTTTAGACTCAGGGCACCTTTCAGGAAACATCAACTCTTGCTTTCACTTGATTTTGGACTACAGAAAAATAATAGAGAAATTCTTCTGTTGCAAGGAACTCAGAAAGACCATGAGGCAGAATGTGTTTAATACTTTTGATTCCTATCTGAAATCTGAGTTTGTCTTGTGATCATGTGTGCACACCTAAAGCTAACATTGTATGACACCCCTGTGCAGCACCCCTGAAAGGATCTCAAGGCACCCTAATTGAAAATGACTGCTATGGGCTTAGAGCAGTGGTTCTGAACCGGGGCCACATGTACCCCCAGGGGGTATGTGAAGCCTCATCAGGGGGTATGTGAGATATACTTCATGCATTGTCTAACACAGGTCAAAGGGCCTAAGAAAACATCTTGAAAATTTGAAAAGTCTTTGTATCTTGCCATTTTATAATACATGATTTACATGTAGTTTGAGATAAAAATTAATTTCCCATTGAAAGCGGGGTACGTGAAGTCTCACTCTGAGACCAAGGGGTACGTCAACTGAAAAAGGCTCAGAACCGCTGGCTTAGAGGGTGATCAACTCAGAATGAAGAAAGAGGTCTCCTATGAGGTCTAGGTCCTATACCACAGTGTTTAAAAGCTACGGATTGCTGTTTCACAAGCAACTAAGGCTCAGATACCTGCTACCTAGAGAGGACCCCAAAGTGTCTACTGCCTGCCTGCTGACACGGTTCTGAAGTGTTTGGACAAGAACTGTGGTCAGTGCCTGAAAGATGAAAGGGAGTCCAGATGACATGACACACAAAACAGAGATAGTCCAAGGGACACCAGTAGATATGCAAGGCAAAAGCTTTGCTGTGAAACTTCCACATGCTATTTTAAAGAGTATTTATTTTAAAAACAAATATCTACAGTGTTTGCAGTGTGCATTATCTCCTTGTTAAGTAACGGTATAGCTCCTTGTTAAGTAATAGTATAGTACTTTTTCTCTGGAAGCCCAGTGGGAATTAATAACACCTACTTATCAAGGTTTCACAAACAGCCTTGAGGTTTAACACTATGTAGTGCTTTCAAAGAAACAGAAATCTGGCCTTCAGCAACAAATTAAGCTGAGGTGCATGAAGAGGGTGTAATAGCATTATCTCAGCATCCCCCTCCCTGATCACAAATAGTCAGATTTTATGTTTGTGTAGGTCTTTCAGGCATCAACTGTGGAAGAAACTAGCTGGAGGGGAAAGGGACAGAGAGGGAAGAAATGTTTAAAATATTATCATGATTTTATACTGTGCATTCTGTTAGCTTTAAAAGAAAGGAAATGCTGCCACCGTGGTAAGAAATAATAAGTGGCATGTACTACATAAATAGGTACATAAGATATGTATGAAGTACACGCTTGGGGAAAAAAACATTATTCACCAGGAGCTTTGGTTCTCTGAGCGAGCCATCTCTGCATAGCCATACTTACAGGGAAAAGAAAGATGCAAAGGTCAATCTGAGCCAATCTTTCTACCTACTTGAATCTGAGGGCTAACTTGGGGCAAAACCATACTCTTAGGCAAAGCAGAGCAGCCAAAGGTGTCTGGATATCATGGGACATCAATATGTTTCAAGGATATTCCCAGTATGTCCCAGAACAGCAGCAGTGGTTCGCCTCTATGAAGAGGGGATTTGTCATCTCCCCTTTTGAGGTCTGTTTAAAGGCCCTTTGGTACCACTAGAAAAATGCAAAGGTTATAACATTTGGGTCAAGCTTTCAGCTCCAAAATTTTACTTTTCACAATAATTCTGCTTCTACTCCCAAGACTGCTAAATCAGCCATCTCAGTTTGCACAAAAATGAACCTTATCCCATTTGCTGGCATCAGAATGTATTTGTCACAATAAATTCCTGGTTCCCTAAGTAACAGCGATGTTATATGTTTCAACTGTAGATTAGATACAAGGAAGAACCTTCTGTGTTCTAGGGGGTATCTTATACTGCACATATGCTGAATAATGTATCATTTTGTGAATGAAATAAAACATAATGGCAGAACAAGAAAAACATCTTATTGATCCCAGATAATAATAAAAAAACTATACTACCATAAAAGTGCCATATAGGCTCGAGAGTCAACAGGATTACAGAGAATGTGACCTTCTGTTGCAGGCATTGGTTCTTGAATCCACAGAAACAGAGTGTCACTTGTACCAAGGCTAATCTGGGGAAGAAAATAATTGAAGTGTTATCACAACGTGCACGGAAGGCAATACAGAAATTAAATGAAATCCATTTGTTCTTATTGCTAATTGTTTTTAAGTCACACGTTAAGTCAATTGGATT